CGGTCAGATCATTGTCTCAAATCTTACAAACGTGCATAAACTAAATAGCCCCATAAACTACACTCGACTTCATTGAATTAGATATAAAAAACAAACATCAAATAAAATAATTACTCAGGCCTACTATTCGAGTAGCCTCCCCACAGACGTCCTTTGGGGTTCCTTTGTCACGCATTCATTTCTCCCCCACGGACGTCTGCTAAACACAGCCGACATTTACGTTCTGGATTGTTTGAATAAGCCAATAAGCAGTCAGTTATTGTGTCACGCTCAGCCAATCACGCGCTGTGATATAAGTGATGTCTTTGTATTCTCAAGTGAATTATTTATTTGCACGGCTATCTTCTACCTGAGACGACTCAAACGTTTTGAAAAAATCACAAAAACGATGTAGTAAAGCTGCAGTCAGCTGTATATTTTTTCGGAAGTTGTGACTATAAAATAATCTGCTTTTCTTTGAAAGACTTCAGACAACAGTCTCCCACACGAGCGCGGAGCGGTTTTCAGCGCGGTCGAAAACAATAATTACTATTAACTCTGTATATATTCGAAGTATTAAGAAAAGAGAACTTGTAAACGTGTATAGGGAAGATATTCAAAGCATTCTTCGAAAACAAAGGCCATTTCCTTTTTTGCGAAATGTAATTCCACCAAGGTCATGGGTCGCGGACCAAGGACCAGTACGCAAAATTTGGTTATATTTTTTCAAGAGTCGGTAAAACAAAAAATTCGAAGTCTGCAGCAATGTGCTTCCAACGGCGGAAAAAGGTTTATCTGAAAACTTGTTCTGGAAAAAGGCACGTCCTCCCGTTGCGTTTTATTTATTCACAAGCTAAGTATAAAACATGACCACGGTGCCGCCGAAGTCCAAACTTCAAGCTAGAACGACAAATTAACCTACCTGTCAACAAACTTTAATCTCGCTCCTTCAAAGAAAGAAAGAATGCTTATAATCAATAAATCATTGAAAGTTTCATTGTTCATTGTGTTTTATTTCTCGACGAAATATTTTAAATTAATCATGCTCGGGAAAGTCGCCGACCAAGGACCACATACTAACTGTACAAGTCACTCGCTAACATTTCCTCCACCGATCGATTTTCAACCAAGCTTCTGGGCTTCCGTAAACAACAGAGAAAGTCCCTCTCTCGACAACCCTCATATTCTCTTTGCTAATATCACTGAGCGTTACAGCAGGAATACCAATATTTTCCAGCTTTGTAGATTGATCTTTCAAGATTTACCATGGGAGAAACAACAACAACAATAATGTGCAGTAGTTCCACGCACTGTGTCGCAAACAAGCAGCAAAGCTTGATAGAAAAGGGATTTGCCAAATCCCGTCCGCAAATTTATGAACTCATCGGTCTTCGCTATAAAATTTACAGGATAGCTCTCTGATACTTGTTTATCAAAAGCCTCACTGATCGTGCGAATCTTAAGAAGCGGCTCGGGTTACGTTATACAAAAATCCGTAAACGGCCTGTGATTGGTGAACGTAAATGTCGGCTGTGTTTAGCAGACGTCCGTGGGGGAGAAATGAATGCGTGACAAACGAACCCCAAAGGACGTCTGCGGGGAGGCTAACTATTCGAGATGCACTGAAAACTATCAAGTAAGGCCAAAATCGCTTCAGACTTTTCAGCCCTCTTACGCATTAAGCAAGGTGAAAAACGAAAACGATACCATCGGAAATCGGATTTCCGACTTTGATAAGCGACGTATTTCTCAACCAAAAACCCGATAAACAAACTAGTCATGAATAACAGAAGACTCTTGATAGCAGCTGGATTTCATTTGTACAATGTTCAGTGGAAAAAGACGGTTAAACATCACAAGTTGACACAAAACTCTGTCAGCTTCAGCTGTCAAAGTAAACAAGTTTTAAGATGCTGCATAAATTTTCCGCATGAACTCACCTGTCAAATTTTGACCAATCAGAGCATAAAAATTGGACGTAGAGCGTGACCAACGCGTGACCTTGGTGCGAAAAGTCAAAAGCAAGTGGCATGTCTTCCCTGCCTGTAAAAACTGGCTAAATCTTAGTCAGTTTGAAATCAAAATTTTAATTGTGTGGCACATATTAAATTTGAAAAAAATTAAACTTGAGCCTGCAATCATTTGAAAACTAGTAACTTGTCAGAGGATAACTTCAAAAAATACTCGACCTCGACGGGTCGACACCTGAGCCCGCGATTCGGTCAGGTGATATTGGTCAGCGGGACCTTGTTTTGACAGCTGTCAATTGATCACAACATTGATGTGCAATATGTGTGCAATATCAGTCTTCCTGTGCTCCCAAACTAGCTAGAAAGTGTGGGATGGAACATTGGTTTCCCTGTGGTGCGGACGGGCGGGCGGTGTACGGTAACGTGATTACCAAATTTTCTGGGCTGGGTAGGTTTACTTACCCATGGTGCTCCGCAGGCGCTTCGCGCGCCAGAGCTCCGCCATAAGGCGATTTCTTTACAAGTGATCCTAATATTTTGCAAAGCAACCG